GATCGTTGCGAAGTACTGCGCCATAAATTATCACTTGACATGCTGTACTACGCCACACGATTCAACAATTTTGACGAGCCTGGACAGACTCTGCCATCAGAAAAATCTGAAATCTGATTAGCCGATCATCTGTGATTTGAGTTGCGAGGAAGTTGCGGGGAGGTGGCAGGGATCTAGGGTGACGTCCGTGTAATAAATACTATTATGCATATGAAAACCGGCATATAACCATTTTTTTATTATTTCCGCATACCACACCACTGTTTAAAAACGTATATTTTATTTGAAAACTTTCGATTCGGTTGGATTCGAGTGTCAAGAAGGCTTCGAACGTGACTCATTCCCTGATACTTACATTCGAATCAAATATGATCCGGATTTTGCGGAACAATACTTGTAATCATTTTCACATACTCATCACTTTTCTTGGATTGCTGTGTCCTTAAAATTAATTCAAAAAATTTAATGTCATAAATTAAAGCGAAATCTTAATGCACTCATAAAACTTACCTGTCATACCAAGTAAACTTCTCAATTCGATCAACTCTCTATTAAAATCTTTGGAATTACAGTATGACCCACGCAAAATCAGTCCATTGTACTCGTAATTTACCCATAGATTCATCCTATTTACCATTACATTCTCCAACCTAAACATCCCATGAATCACTCCAACTGTTTTTCTCTTTCCGTGACATCATCTAATTCCGCAAAAGATTTTCCAGAAAGCAATGTTAAAATAAAAACAAAAACCTCGTTAAGGATTCCGTATTTTAGAAGCTTCGGTGGAATATCCATAAGAAGGCCGAGATAGAACTTGATTTTGTTTAGAATTTCTTGCAACAAGTACTCATTTTTATATAAGTCGGCCATTTTAAGAGCGCCTACTTTTCCGCAAATCTTGGCTTCAAAAATAACTCCAGATCGACCATTACCTAACACATCGATAAAGAAAACTGGCTGCGTTCATATCTTCAAGTTTTTCGTCTTAAATATCATCCCCCTTTTTTTTGCCATATCCCGAGTGGTTACATTTAAAGTCAATCACTTCTTCTTAGAAAAACCATGTTCGAACATATGTCGTAAGCATCGTATCGAAGGTCAAAAAAATTAAAGAAATAAATAAATTAAAAAAAGAATTTCTGCTGAATTTACCAAAGAGAAAGATTATGACAATCATAGTCCTGTTAATTCATTTTTTTTTTTGTAATGGTACTGTTTCCATCAACTCCACAGCCAATTGAATTGTTCACATCCAAATTAAAGATTTGTTTTGAATGGTGTAGTAAAAAGGTTACAGATCATCACTTACGTAAAAATTTGATTAATGTTTTATATTTTTAATTGCCAAATTTGGTGTATACCGTCAAAAATAGTTAATCGGCATTTATCTTTACAAATACAACCAATCTCGAGCAAATCAAGGGAAAAGTTTTGAACGGACCCTTCTTGATAAAGGTACCCTAATTAGTGATTATCAACGGTTACACGTAAAATAAGTTTAGAAATTTCATAAAGCGAGTCAAAACGGGGGCAGTTTTCTTTGTAGTTTCGCATGATACATACCCATGCATGTTCCCGATACCATGCATGTCCTAAAACAAATTACGCCACAAAAGATATTCTTTGAAGAAATGGCGTGTGGTGTTTTTTTTTTTAAAAAAAACTTCCAAACTTTTTAAAAAAGATTTTCTAAAAAGAAAATTTTTTTTATAAAGTTAATTGAAGAAAGAAATGAAAAATTACTTTGGACATCATATCCAAATTTAATTCTTTTAAAAGTTCGCAATGACCTAAATCACACTAATCACACTTATATTTCCCTTACCTAAAATGTCAATTATATAATTTACGTAATCATGTTTTTTGTAGGGTTTTTTCTCATCAGAATTTTGAAGTCAACATTGATTATTAAAAAAAAATTAATATTAATAGTTATTAAACAATCAATCATTTCTTCGAAAATTTCCAATGTAACATGTAATCAATAAGTGGACTAAGGTCCTGGTATTTCTTGAAAAATATAAATCTCGCGAATTTTTCAAAATTTTTTTTTTTTTTTTGCAGCAATAAAAAAAAAAAAAAAAAAAAACGCCCAAAGACCTAATATCTATCATATGATAAAAAGATCTAATAAACATTCCTTTATAACTCTTTGTAATTGAATCATTATATACATAAACACAATAATGACTGGTTTACAACCAAGAAGAGGTCCCTGGTTACCTCAAGTATATATTAAATAATTAAATTTTTTTTTACAATCTAATTCATTTTATAATTAATTCTTCGGATTGAATTCACCTTTACAGGAAGAAAATGATCTTATTTCGTATTTCAATGACATTGGCGCTGATTGGTTCGAAATTTCATCAAGACTTATGACTAGAAACGCTCAGCAATGTAGAAGAAGGTTTTTATCATATTATTTGTTGATTTTATTGTCAAAAAAAAAAAGCAATTATAACAAACAGAATTTTTTTTCTTCTTTTATATTCATTCGTAACAAAAATTTTTCTAGATATCGTGAGCTTGTGTTAGCAAATGGTAATTAAAAAAAAAAAACACTTATATAATTATATTATATTAAATATTTTGTTTTGATTCCTTGCTTGATTAACGCAATTTTTATTTTACAGCTGTGCAGCTTCCACTACAATTGCGAGTTTGAAGTCGTATATCTAAATTCACTAACCGAATATATATTATTTGAACTCAACAATTCGTTCTTTTTAACTTAATATCTAATCTTAATATTTAGTAAACATTATCTCAAACACATTCTTTATTTATCAGCAACAAGCTTATATTCATTCTTTTATCATTTCATTTAACCAAATAGACTATCATTTTATCATTTTATGTTGATAATACTTTTATAATTTTATTTAAATTTTTTTTTTATACTGTATATATATAAGGTGGCAGAATCTTTGCATTCTATTTAAATAAAAAGAATCCTTTTTTGAACAGAAATTCGTGTAAGAAAGTCGGATATCTTGTGAAAATATAAGATATGACATAAACGACGATGAATTTTATTTATATATATATTTTTTAATTCGTTTGTTGGTTATAATTGGTTTAATTTACTACTTAAAAAAAAATATACATATAGTATATATACAGTCAAGTCTCTAAATGCACCCCACCCCCCTTGGGATCAAAGTAAAAATTTTAAAAAAAGTGCATTTAAAGAGGGTGTGCATTTAAGAGAAAATTTCTATATGCTTGGGACTGAACGAGAGCATGCATTTAGAGAGAGTTGACTGTATAATCTTTTTATTATTGATTATCATCAGCAAATCAAATGGATTCTTCACGTCTTATTTTATAATATAACAAAACCAGTAACCAGTAAAAAGGACAACCAATAATTCTTTGTAAAGTCGACCTAAAAGTTGTTCATTTTAGTGTTACCTTCCACTGCTTTTTTTTTTCGCAAACTTACAACAGTTTTTTAAAACGGTATTTTCGGATTGAATTACCATAATAATTCTTATACAATTGACATTATTCGTTTCAAAATAAAAAATTTTTGCGACAACATTTTAAATAGTTATGAAAAAAAAATAAATAAATAAATAAATCGATCGATTAAGAAGTAGTAACAAAGAAATTTTGGTCCCGTTCGGTGGTTTTATTAATGTTATATGCATGATATTAGCTTTTTTTATGATAATTGAACAAAGTAAGGCGAAATCACATTCAGTTAGTTTTGTTCTAAAAATAAAATAAAAAAAAAATTTTTTTGTTTACAAACTGTAATTGGAAATGATTGAAAGAAGCATATGTTATGACTGCGCATAAGAATTATGATTTATATACTCTAGATATATTCTAGATGTTGCCAAAAGTTTGATTAAAGATGCAGACCTCTCAAGATATAATTATAAAGGGACCATGGAATATCTCAGTAAGTATCTAGCACACGCATATACAGTTTCATTGAATGGCGATTTTCTAATCTATTTCCTTTTTCTCTCGTTTTATGTTTAACGATGTATTCTTACTTTTTTTTTTTTTTTTTTTTTTTGGTAGGAGGACAGGATCCTTCGTCATCTTGTAAACCAATATAAAATTCGCTATGCAAAAGGGCAGATCTCGTGGGTACTTATTGCTAACGATATGGCAACCCGTACGGCCAAACAATGTAGAGAACGGTTTGTTGATTCATTCTTTTATTGTATTTATTAAAACATGCAAAATATCATCATCATCCTCCTCATGATCTCTTTTCTCCTTGTTAAGATGGATAAATCATTTAGACGATTCAAGTAAGCACACTTACATATGTATATACCCCACTTAGTGACTCCGATAATAAACACGATACGATGCATATGTTATTATTATAAATTTTTTATTTATTTATTTATTTATAATTTTAATTAATTAGTCAATAAGTCCCCGTTAACCGAACGTGAACAACAGTCGCAGAAAGGTTATCAGGACGTACTCCATTAATGGTGAAAAACTTTATCTACGGGAATCAAAATAAATTTAAAAATCAAAGATCCTACTTAAGGATTCGTAAAAAGATGGCCATCAACAACTTATTAAATCCATAAGACTGATCGAAACCTCGGGCTAGCGCGAAAAAAAAAAAAAAGGAAAATTTTTTTTTTTTTTAAAATGGAATTGGATGAATTGGATTGGGATTGATGCGGCAACAAATGATTATTTAATGTTGTCCGCGCCATGTAACGTTATATAACTTCAAGAATTTTTACGACTATTTTTTTTTTTTTAAAAAAAATATATAAAAATATATATATATATAATAATTGGTTGATTATGAATTAATTATACCCTTTATAATTGAAAAATGCTTATTACAAGGTGATCAATATAAAAAGCTTTTTATAAAGGTATTAATTACATAAATTTTAAATAAAGGTAAATAATAAATCAATAAATTTTTTTTTTTTTTTAAAAAAAAAAATGAATAATAATCATTTCAAAGATTATCCCAAATACCCGTTTTTAAAAATGTGATTTTTTTTAAAGGAAAAATGGTGACTCGTTTTACTTTTAAAAATCGAGTTAAAAGATCTAGTATGATTCAACGTTGACTTTAAATGCGAGACAATGTCGATTGTAATTGGTGCTTTTGAAAATCGTTTACTGTATATACATTAGGACACATCAATGATATTATAGAAGATTCAACCAAAGTCTCCCAAAACTTCAAAGACTATAATTTAATAAGCAAAACGAACTTCAATTTTAATGTTCTAAATGGAGAGATCATGTAAATGTGCAACATCGTTCGACGCGTCAAATTGTATGGATTGACCAACCGCAGCACGAAGTAAATCTCAAAAATTGGATTACGAAAATTTTTTATTACGTCCTTTGCGCGTAAAAAATGATTGCTTAAAAAAAATGGAAAAATTTTCGAATAAAATTATAATGAGCTGATTTTAAATGTTCGACAGAATTTTGAAGATATTTTAAATCTTGTCTAGAAGGTTCAAATATACCGTCTCTGTCTATACCAATGCTAGCGAGCTTAATCGAAACCTCAAACAAATATTCTTCGTAAATCATCAACATTTGTTTCAGCTTATACAAGTAAAAGGCAGTATCATTTAAATGAGATAAAACCTTCTTAACAGATCGAACATCTTCCCTGTCATTGATTGAATCAAGTACATTTACCGACGGATATCCAAAATCATTTTTTAAAACGAACTTTTCCGCATCTCTTAATCCATTAAAAAGGGAAGCTTCAAGTTTATTCCTATGGTGTTCCACCAAATTCATGGAAGAGTTTGTCGGTTTAAATAATGGTTGAAAATTTTGAAATTCGATCTTTAAGTAGGTTATCTTTTCATATAAATATTTTTTATCATCTCTCTTAAAAGATGAATCCAAAAGAATTCGATTCATCATTGTATTAATTACTTCGTCGAACGTTGTAAATAAACGTATCCCTTTATACAGAGGGTGGACAAAAGTATCCGCACACTTTTTCACTCAATATAAAACTTAAAATATTTTTGCAATAACAATAA